CCTGCTCCGGGTGTCTGCGGGGCCCTGCGGCGCCGGGCAGCCCGAGAGCACGCCTCCCGCCTCCGCGGCGGGGCCGTGCGGGTCGCCTCGGGCACCGGGGCCCCTCCCGGCCCACGTGACTCGGGGCGCCCTCTGGCCACGCCCCGGCCACGCCCCCGCGGTAGGATCTCTGCGGGCACTCCCCGTCCGCCTTCCCCCTCCGCCTCCCGTCCGCTAACGGGTGGGAACCCCACCCCCACCCCCCACCGTGAAACTGACGGCCCCGAAGATCGACGTCGCCTGGCCCTGCGCGAGCCCCTCGGACTCTGATCAAAGTTTGGCCCGAAGCTGCCGGACTTCAGGGCGCGGGCTGTCGGGCACTGGCTGTGCCGCCCGGGGCGGATGACCAACCTCCTGCCTTTACGCTTATAAGTCATAACCCGCAAACCCAGTGGAGCACCTCTGTATGCCTGGCCCTGTGCTAGGAGCCGGGAGATAAAATGGGGAACAAACTGGCCTGGTTTCTGCTCACCGATTGGGTGATAGTCTGGGAAAAGACGATATATTAAACATCCATCTCTCATTGAAGAAAGAAAAACGGGGGGCAAAGGAAGGGTGCTGAGGCCTTTCTCCAAGGATGAGGAGGAGTTAGTCCTGGGCAGAGAGGAGGCAAGTGTGCTCTGGGTGTGCAAATTGCTGGCGGTGATACAGGCCCGGAGGCCCTGGTGAAGACTGGCCCGTCACCCCAAGGGCAGTGGGATTTGCCACTGCAGGGTTTTAAGCAGAAGAGTGACAGGACTGAGTCATGTTCTGTGGTGAAAGGATGGGGAAGTAGGAGGGCTGCTGAAAATGAGGGAACTGTTTGGGGGGGGGGGAGCTTGGAGTACGTAGGATATGTAAAGAAATGGACTGATGCAAGCTACAACCTGGCAGTCGGATCAAGCTAATTAGGTGACAGGTGACATCTATTTAAACAAACATTAGCACCTACCCTAAGAGATCCTTGATGTGAACTGTCTAGTGTGGTGTCTGGCACACAGCAGCCAGCTTGCCCAAGGCCATGCAGTGCCTGGCAGCCTCCTGGCTCCCACCCAGTGCTCCTTTGAATACTGCCCTTCACCTTCCCGGTTTTCACAAATGTTTATACTAGAAGAGGCCTTTTCTGTACCTCTTCCAAAGGCTGTGAGCAAAGACTTTGTACCCAATACCCCCAGCATAGGAGCAATGGGATCAACTCCATCTAGAACAGTGGTTCTCAACCTTCCTAATGCTGCGACCCTTTAATACTGTTCCTCATGTTGTGGTGACCCCCAATTTCATTGTTACAAATTGAACATAATTAAAGCACAGTGATTAATCACAAAAACAGTATGTAATTATATGTGTTTTCGGATGGTCTTAGGCGACCCCTGTGAAAGGGTCGTTTGACCCTCAGGTTGAGAACTGCTGATCTCGAAGTTGGTGCTGATTCATCTCGAGCTGGGAGAAAAGCTGGTGCACTCCTGTGGGCACCAGTCTCACCTACAAAGCCCAGACTGCATCTTCCTCTTCTCTGGAACCTTTGCCTCTCCTCCTCTCCCAGCTGATATCTGCCCCATAAATGTAGGCTGGAGGGGGATACAGTGAGAGGTGTGGGAATCTCCACCTCCTTCTCGCAGCCAGAAGAGCAATGGTGCCAGAGTGTGGGTGCAGAGAGCCCACGGGCCCTGCCCAGCCTAAACCGTCTCATAGGGAACCATCAGAGCCACAGATTGGATCTGATGCTTCAGGCACAGCAAGCCTTGCATTTGTCCTGGACTTTGCAAACTTCCAAACAGTTTTTATCTTTTTTTTTTTTTCTCCTGAAACCACTCCAGGAAAGCAGGGTGGGGGTTAAATTCTGACCCCGAGGAAAGCAACAACCACCCTTGACCAGCTCTTTGGGGCAGAGACCTCACTCTGCTGGACTTTGGGTCTCTAGCCTCTGGCCCTGACCCAGCACTGGGTTCCTAGGAGTTCACAAATGTTTGCTTCCCATAAAATTCACTCTTCTAACATGTACAATTCAATAATGTGAAGGTTGTGCAACCATCACCAATTTCTAACACCATTCTTTCTTGCATTTCTGATTAAACAATCCGGCCAGTAGTCTAGAAAAAGAATAGCTAATGGTTATTGAAAACACAGTGTTTTGGATAGCTTCTCAAAATTTACACGGGTCCTCCAAGGTAAGTTTCATTAATCTCCATTTCACAGATGAGCAAACTGAGGCTCATAGGCTAAGAATTTAGGCAAATTCACAGCTAGTAAAGCCAAGGAGCTGGAGGACCTTCACCCTAAAGCCAGGAAACCCCTCAGCAGGGCATCATTCCTAAGGGGGCCAGAGGTCACAGCAGGCAAAGGAGAGTCTCAACTGTGAGTCAAACAAGCATCGGAAATTTACTGGGCACATGCCCTGGCCCTGTGGGAGACAGAGCTACAGGGAGTGCTACAGCCTGCCCTGGGGCTTGGGAAGGTCAAGGAAGATTGATTGAAAGCTCTGGGCCTCTACAGATGAATTCCAATGGGCAGGGTGCAAAGGCAGGACTCTAAAAATCACAGCACAAACCTGAAGCCAGGAGAGAGGAGGAGTGTATAGTGGCCCACACTGGGCTTGGGGCATGGCTTCTCAGAGCTGGTGGCCCATCTCCAAAGATCTACCCCAAACCATGAATCAGGGAAGATGTCTGTCATTCAACACTTGGGCAACCAGAGGACCCTGATCCAAGAGAGGGAAGCGGGGCTCAGTGCAACCCCCCTTGTGCCCTTTCCGAGGCAGTTCACCCACTCAACAGGGCCAATCGCTCTGGAAGTGAACTTCAGGGCTCTCTGCCCAACGAAGTTCTTTTGTCTGAATTTCCAGGGGCCAGAGGTAGTGCAAGGGCCAGTTTGGCATTAGAATATCCTGTGAGAGCAAATCGCACTGAGACAGCCGGACAGAAAAGGTGCGTTTCTGTGCCTGGTGCTTGCTTATTCCCAATTCAACTCTCAACACAGAAAGGGAAAAAAGGAATCTGGTTCATACAAGTATACAGTTCCTTCCATAGGTCCTGTTTATTCCCAAACCCCAACCAGACACCTGATAATCCTCTCCCCACCTCCCAAGATCCCTGAGACCCATTGTATGGGCTGGAAAACTAAGGCACTGTGGCAGAGTGCCCCTGTGGGTCACGGACACGACATATGAAGACCCAGGAGTCCTGACTTTCAGGGACTCTGTCTCCCCAAAGGTCTGGCAGATCAGGGAGATAGACGTCGCTTTCCTTTCCCTCCGGTCTTCAGAGCAGAGCCTCTGTGCCGAGGTTTTCTGAGGAAGCGCCAGTGCTCTGTCAGCTGCTAACTCTGACGGAGAGCAGAGGAGCCAGTGGCCATCGGGAGACAGGGGAGACTCGAACCCAGGGCTGGGCCTGCCTTCCAGCCAACCTGTCTGTCAGGACCAGGACTCTGTGCAGCTGTGCTGGGCCCCCAGATGGGGAACAACAGAGCTGTGTCTATGCCAGGGAGAAGACAGGGATGAAGGCTGGAGAGAGTACCCCAAAAGGGGCTACTGGCTTGGAGGCCCAGGGGGCTGAGGAGAAATTTGATCCAGACTCCAGTGCCAAGCACGGCGGGTGCTGATGGGGGGCTGCCCAGCTGGGTTGCTGTGACAGGATCCCGAGGCTGCCATCACCTTAGCACTTCCCAGGGCATAAAATGTCGCTCTTCTCTCGAGGGTGACACAGGCTCAGAGCTTGCTCCGCGGGGCCTCTGCCAGGGGCCGCTGCAGCCGCCACACCACCCTCACTGGCTCGGCGGCGTGGTCCAGCGCCCGGAGGCCGCCCATGTCGCCCGTCTGACTGTACTGCTGCAGGGCCGGCTGGAGCACCGTGATGGGAATGCTGAAGTTCAGGTGCGGGTAGGTGGCCCCGGTGTTATTGTCCCGGGTGTTGCTGGCGACAATCCCTGTGGAGGAGTCAGAGGAAAAGAGGGTATGCACCAGACAGAGGGATGGGGAGGGAGGCCCATCTCCCCACTGGAGGTCCTAGGCCTACGGTGGGCTTGAAGCCCCCAGAGTGACCGATGCCAGGTTTTCTTTCAGGGACACCAACTCCACAAACCCTGGTCCCCCTTCCTGCCTTAACTTTCTCCTTAACACTATCAGTATCTAACACTGTTTCACTTATTCTGTTATCTTTCTCTCCAACTAGTCGGGTCCACAAGGGCAGGACTTTTGTGTTTTGCTCACGCAGCCTCTCCAGACCCAGACAGTGCCCAGCACAGAGGCGGCTCTCATAAGTACTTGTTGAGTGGGTGAATGAATCAAACTCACAGACACATTTCGTTTGGCCTGCTTAGTGCGTGCATGTGTGTGCATGTATTTTTTCATACAATTTTAGACTTACAGAAGACTTGCCAAAATAGTACAAAGTTCCTGTATATCCTTCATCCAGCTTTCCTTTCTATTAATATCTCATGTCACCATAGAACATTGACTAAGCCCTGGCCCGTTTGCTCGGTCGCGGGTTCCATTCCTGGTCACGGGCACATACCTCAGTTGTAGGTTCCCCAGCCCAGGTAGGAGTGTGTGCGGGAGGCAACCAATTGAGGTGTCTCTCTCACATTGATGTTTCTCACTCTCTCTCTCTCTCCCTCCCTCCGTTCCACTCTCTCTAGGAATCAATGGAAAAATTATCCTTGGGTGAGGATTAAAAACAAAAGGAAAAAAAAAAAACACTGATCAGAACCAACAAATTAACCAATGCTATTGACTGAAGCACAGAACTCATTTGGATTTCACCAATGTTTCCACTAATGTCCTCTTTCTGTTTTGGATGCAACCCAGTATCCCACACAGCATTTAGGTGTTGCCTCTCCTAAGTCTCCTCCAATCTGGGCCAGTTCCCCAGCCTTCCCTCATCTTTTGTGGCCTTGACACTTCGAAGAATGCAGGCCAGTTATTCTGTAGAATGTCCCTCAATTAGGGTTGACCTGATGTTTTCTCAGGATCAGATCAAGGTTCTACATTATTGGGAATACGGTAGAAGCAACGTGTCCTCAGTGCTTCCCAAGGAGGTGTATGATGTCTATAAGAATGACTGGGTCACTTGGCTATGGGTTATCTCCCAGGTTTCTCCACTGTAGACTTAGTATTTTCCCATGTAAAGTACTAAATATCTGAGGGTTAGGCAAATATCCTATTTCTATATAAACTATTGCCCACTGGTTTTAGCATCCATCGGCGGATCCGGTCTGCAGCAATTCCTACCGTGGTGAGCCAGTAGTGATTTCCCATTTCCCTCATTTCTTCTGCATTTACTAATTGCAAATCTTCTGTAAGAAAGAGCTGTTGCTTGTCTCCATTTTGAGATTTGGTTATTCTTCTGGACACATGGATGTTCATTCTTTCGCTGGGCTATCACCCAATACTCTTGCTATTTGTTTTGTTGCTCCGGTTGCTCCCATGGGAGCTCCTTCAAGTCGGCTCTTAGTTCTTTCAACACCTGACACGTCCCATTACTGGGTTGTTTTGTTAGCATTTCCTTCCTTTCCAGCACCACGAGAGCCCATTTTCCCTGTCCTGATCCTGGTACCAACCAGTTCCCAGTTCCTTTTATTAGAGATCGGGTTCTCGGTGTGCTCATTCAACTGGGTTGTCACAGCGGACAGAGCCAGGACATATATATATATTTACATTAACTACTGCATACATACCAGTACACATATATGTTTATTTCTGTATGCATTTGTCTGTATATATATTTTTAAAGTCATGGTTGCTTGACTTTATTTGCATACTGCCGTTGAAGAAATAAGTAAATCTATTGTAGCAAGAAAGAGCAAGGTCTCTCACTATGGCAGAAAGCAGTCAGAAATAAGAGAAGGGGAGGCACACATGAACCCGTGTGCTGGACTACAGTTGGGCAGTTGGAGGTATCCATATGGATTCATGTTGTCTTGTGTGGGGGTTTTTTTAATAAAAGACTTCTTTAAAAAACCTTGAGTTACCAAAAATTTTAAATTGAAAGATTTAACCACCAAATATTTGAAAAAAGAAAAGAAAAGAAGGTTCCCAGCTTCTTGTGAAAAACTGAAGGTCAGCCAGTGTTAGCTCACATTCCTTCATGATGTGGCAACACTGGGCTGGAGCTGAGTGTTCACCCCGGCTCACCCCTGACCTCCCCCTGCATGCTGTCTCCACTCACTTATTCATCCCTTGACCTTCCAGCCTCTGAAAGCTATGGAGTGTGTGACCCCTGGACTAATCCAACTCCTGAGTCTCACAGGTTGCCTGAGATGGGGGATTACCTACGGTTGCACTGTGGCTCAGGGGCAGAGAAGGAACCAGAACCCAGACGTCCTTCATTGCAACTCAGCATCCGTCCCTTTCTACCCTCAGGAGCAGAACAAGCCTGAAACCTTGGCTAACTACTTCCCGGGCACAGTGACACTACCTTCCCAGACAGGGGGTGAGCACCAAGCCCTCAGTAGCTGGGACTGAGGCTCTAGCCAGGGGAAGGCTGGGAGAGGGCCAAGGCGCTGCTTACCCAGGAGGTCCCCTGAGCAGGTAGAGAAGAGGGGTCCCCCACTGGAGCCGCCGTGCACAGCACATGTGGTCTGCAGCATCACCGGCGCGTCATCCACCTGCACCACAGCTGACAGGATGCCCGAGGTCACCGAGGGCCCACAAGCCTGGCCAAAAACGCCGAAGCCCACCACGCTGACAGCCTCGCCTGCCAAAAAGGAAAGAAGGATGAAGCTGCAAAGCCTCTTCCTGTCTGGCAGGACTCATCCTCCCCAGCCCCAACCCGGCCCTCTCCGAAGCTCCCAACACTCTGCCCTGGGAGTTTCTGCTCAGACACTCCTGCCTTCCGAGAGCCTCCCCAGGTCCCCACAGGAAGAGGCCGGGACGGGCACTGAGCTCCCAGCACTGCCCCTGCTCAACCACTTCTCAGTGCCAGGCTGTTCCCCAGCCTCGTCCCCAGTAGAGTGGGTGGTCACGTTTTGGAGTTCCTAGCACCCAGCTAGGTGCTCAGTAAATGTTTACAGAATTAACACCTACCTCCTCCTGGGACTAAGTAGTCTCTTAGAAAAAAAAAAAGTGGTGATGACGACCACAAAATCTTCCTTTACCAAGTGTTTGAATGCACAGGGCATGGGGCCGAGTGCTTTACAGGCAGCATCTCACCCAGGCCTCGCACACCCAGGAGCAGGAAGGTGTCCAGTTATACATGTGGAGACCGAGGCAGAGAACATCACGTTGCCTGTCCAAGGACACGGGGCTCGTAAGTATCAACAGTGAGGCCAGCTCGGAGAGCCCGTGCTCTTTGTGGTGACATCACACCGCGTGCACAAAGTCGGCCGCCAGCGGCAACTTCTGTGGCGGCATCACAAAGCCGCCTGCTCAAATCACCCCGGCAGCCTTACACGAGCCCCTCTCTGACCAGCCGGCCATGTTGTAAGGAGCCTGCCACAGGGCGGCAGGGAAGAGGCATGCCTCCTCCTTAGCTGGGGACCCCGCCTGCCTCCCCGCACCTTGGGCACGTGGGCACAAGAAGGGAAGTGTCCAAGAGCAAAAGCACTGTACCCAGGATGACTTCATGCCAGTGTTTGCTCACATTCCTGACTTCTTAGTCCAGCAGGAGTGGGAAGGGGGCTGGCCGGGGGGACTGGCTCCCTCGTCTGCAGGGTTTGAGTGTCCAACTCTGACTTTCCTTCCTAAGGTCCAGCCCCGAGCAGAGGGCCCCTCTGCCCTTTACCTTCGTAGAAATGTTCAGTGGGCACCGGCACGGGGACACCCTCTAGTTCTTCCTCCAGGCTCACCACGGCTATGTCATACGGAGATGTCTCCTGAGTGGCAAACACCACGTGTCCCCAGATATTGGCACTCCTGGGAGCAAGGGAAACAAAAGGACAGGCTAGCTTTCTGACCCTTTAGTGCCGGGAGGAAGCAAATGGATGAGAGACAGTAAAAGTCATGGACGTGGGAGTCAAAAGATCTGGTGTCAGTCCGAAACCTACCAGGCTGGCAACTCTGGTCATGTCCCTTAACCGTTCTGTGGTGTTATTTCCAAACAGCTTTACCAACTGCAAAGCTTCCTGCACGTCACCGTGATCACCAACACCCGACACTAGTGAGCACTGCGGGCCAGGCCCCGTGTTAACACTCTATGGGCGTCATTCATGAAGTCCTCACAGAATCCCTGTGAGCGAGGCACTGGTATTACCTCCATTTTAGGTGGGGCGTTGGAGACCCAGAGAGGCTGAGTAACGTTCCCAAGATCACATAATGGGTGAGCGGTAGGAGCCAGAGCGTGCCCAGCTTTCTCCTTCGATGCCTCATTTAACAGGGACAATCCTGTGCATGGGTGGGGCAGGCATGACAGGATTTCAACCCTCTGGGTCCTTGTTTACATAAGTGCTAGCATTTCTACGACACTTACTATGTGCCAGGCTCTGCTCCAAGACTGCACATGCCACCTCAAGGCGAGGCAGCTTAGACACTTCCTGCTGCACACGGCAGGGTTGCTCCCAGCAGATCTGGTGGTTTTCTTAGGAGCAAGTGTGGGGTGGGGTGAGGCATCTGGGACCACACAGGAAGGGAAATTCCCATCAGTCGTGGTTGTCCCCAAGGCCAACAGTGCAACAGGCTGGGTTAGTCTCGGAAATTCAATAGGATTTTGAAAGGCCTGGGCTGCCAGGCTGTGTGAGCCAGGTACAGGAGAACATCAGGCATTAACACCAAGGTGCTATCCTACTGGGTTGTGGCTTAAGTTAAGCACCTGGAAACTACAGGGGAAATAGAAAGAACGTGCACTAGAAAATCAAGCCAGGAGGCCAAGGCCACTGTCCCCACTGCCAGAGCAAGTGCACGGAGGGCAAGTGCTTTGCCCTGCAGAGAGGGAACAAATGACTAAAGTCCCAACCTGGCTGCCCACCAGGATCACCTGAAGACTGTGCAAAATCTATCGGCCTGGGCCCCACTCCCACATTCTCATTAGGTGGGACTCCACGTCTATCATTTTGATCCAGATGGGAAGCTCTGGTTAAGATCTACAAGATAAAGAAGATGAACAGGTCCAACTCATTATCCCAGGAGCACAGCATCCTGGGCCCTGAGGCTTCACTACCACTATCAGGGAAGTCTCCATTCCAAGGCCTAGGGGTGTGTGAGTGCAGAGAAGTTGCTCAGAAGGAAATCAGACGGGGATAGGAAGGTCAGATGCCCACGCAGGAATGCGGGTGCAACCTACAGTTCCCAAATCTGGAGTTGCTGGGCATCTTGCCCCAGACTCACTCAGCCCCTGCCAGGAGGCCCAGCATCCCCGACACTGGAGTTCTGGGTGCCAAGGATGAGGGGAGGGCCCCAAATCATCGGCGTGACGCCAAAAGGCCTCCATAATTCCAAGGATTAAGACCTGAGATTTAAGATCCAGATTTTAGACCTGGTGAAGGTGTGGAGTGGGAGCACCCTTGCGGGTCTTACTTGGGGGTGGTGGGGCGCACCAGGACTCTGGCCGTCTCGCGGGGGGCCACATGCCGGCAGGTCACCACGAGGCGGGGCGCCACGACCACTCCGGAGCCCCAGACGGTGCCACACTCCACCAGCACGGCCGCGGCTGCCCACGGGGGCCCAGGGTCTCGGAGAGGCAGGCCCCACGGGGCGCCCAACTCGGGCGGCAGGAGTGCGGCCAGGGCAGCGGCATCGGGGCTCAGGCGGCCGAGCCCGGCACGGGCGGCGCGGAGGAGAGGTGCGGCGGCGCAGAGCAGCGTGAGGCCCACCCACTCGCGGGCCTTCCAGCAGAGGGGCGCCGCCACCAGCGCCACCAGGGCCCCCGCGGGTCGTACGGCGAACACGCCGCCGCCCTCGGTACCGGGCAGGCAGCGCGCATCGGTGAGCAGGAGCGGGCCCGCCGCGTTGCTGAGGACGCCGCGGCTGAGCGTATTGAGGAAGATGTCAGGGCAGAAGGAACCGAACGGGGAGCCACAGGCCAGCAGCGACGCGCCCTTGGGCACGGCCCCGAGCGGCGCCACGGCCACTGCCGGTCCGCGCCCGTCCACCTCCTCCTCGGGGTCGTGCCTCACACGCAGCAGCGCGAACCAGCCCAGCGCTCGCAGCTGATCCTCCTCCTCGTCCTCCGACACCTCCTCGTCCGGCGCCGCGCTCGCGAAGCGCCACTGCTCGGCCGGCTCGCTCCCGAAGAGGCGCGCGAAGTGGGC